CACACAGGGGAGCTTTTACTTACAAGAACAAGGACTCAGGGCTGACCTGGAGATGGCTGCTCTTCCTGTGGAATCTGTGCGTTCAGAAGACACTTTTGGAAAACTTTCTTGTTATTTCATCTCTGCAGCACTTCCAGCCATACCCACAGTGTCCACGTTAGCTCCTTTTTTCTAGCCTCTCCTTGCATGTCTCCCAGTCTGGTCGCCCACAGGGTAACAGGCTCTCCCAGGTCTCCAGAACTGCATCCTGGAGAGACTTCTCCATTCTGGCTTTGCTTCAGATCATTCATTCAGCTGCTGAGCATTTTGTTCCCTCCTTTGGCAAAGCAAAAGTGAAACTCTGGGAAGCAATAAAGCAAGTAATCTCTGCAAGAACAAAAGCAAAATATTTCACCTTGGCCACTCAACTGGTTTCTGTGAACTTTTGAACTGTCAAGAAAAGATCCTGATTGTTCTGAAGGTTGTAGCAGTGAAGAGGGTGGAGGAGCCTGAAGCAGAACAGATCTTCTGTCTAAAACCAACACAGGCCATAAGAGTAGCTATTTCTCACTACGGTACATATATTGAAATTTTGAGTGCAGAGATAGAGTTCTGGATCAGAATGACACAGTAATTAAGGGACAGTAACAAAAAGTAAAGATGGGAGAAGGTGGACCTGATGTGGTCTTGGACATATTAGTTGGCTGATGTCCTGAGGCAAGGGTGTGTGAGGGATCACAGTGCCAGCAGGAGCTCTAGACGCCCTTTGGCAGTGCAGGGTTGAGCAGCAAAGCCAGAACAAATTTAGGTTTAGAGGAGTCTAAACAGTGGAAATTTAAAAAAAAAAAGTCCTGGTATTGTTGAGATATGAAATGAAAATGAAGGTGCTAGACCAGAAGACAGAGGGGCATAGAATGAGAGAATAGTAAAGTAAAGCAGACTTTTACCTGCTCTTGTGCCTTTTTTTTTAAAAAAAAAAAGCCATATAGACAAAATAATCAAAACAATCTAATGCAGTTTGTCTTATAAAACTGCGTTAACATGTTCATGCACTTGGATTCTCTGACGCTTGACCACTTCTCTTTATAACCACAACAGCACATCCCAAAGGTTGTGGCGTGGCTGAATCCATTGGGCTTGGAGCCCCAGGGGCCCACCAGAGCCAGATGTGGGACAATTTGCCTGTGTCAGCCCAAGTCCCCTTTGCAGGTCTGTCCAGGGACCACGCAGGGCACGTGTAACACACACACACAGAGGTTCATCACACAGAGAGGAGGAGGAGGATTTAAGGCAGTGCAGGGCAGGAGGGGCTGGGGTTGTGCCTGCTCACAGGCACACAGCCCCTGTTACCCCTCTTCTCTCACCCTTTTCCCTTGCTTACTCTTTCCCTGTCCACCTTGATCCCTCTGTTCTTCTACCCTGGTCCCTCTATCTCTTTGCAGATAAACAACCTAATTACCTTTTCCTTGTGGGCTTCAGTCTTGTTAAAGCCATGAAACCTCTGATGCTGCCACTTAGATGGTCTCAGCCACACGTGGTATTACCAACACGATCACCTTGGTACTTCTGCCCTTGCAAGCTTTTTTATTTTTTCCAAAAGGTCTTCACCAGAGTTTGGCCTTCCCTTGCTTAACTCCCCATGAGCCACAGGCGGGTGTCATGGCACTCCTGGTGACACCTGTCAGCTGCTCACCCTTCCTCTCTTCAGCAGCATCCCCTCTCCTGCCCCGCCATCCCGCAGGATCCGAGCAGCAGCTCAGCCCCAGGCCAGGGCTGGCAGGTTACAGCCATAACTAGTGGACTGAATAATCCACAAACAAGGGAACCTACTTTTCTGCACCAGGACATCTTCGTTCAGGTTTCACACTACTTTTTTCCCCCTTGCTGTACCTGCACATCTGCTAATTCTGAGGTCCAGGAAGAACAGGTCTGAGATATGGCTTCTAAGTGAAAGTGAACTTACACAGCAGTATCCCTAGTGAAATGAAACACTATCGAAGAATAGGATCTAGATTTTTTTAATGTGCTATTCAGGGGGTGATAGGAGTTTCAAATATACAGAATCTGCTCATTGTCCCAAACAATGTGCATTTTTATAACATTGTTGAATTACACGTACCTGTTCTTCATGGCTTTCAGAGTTCCTTACTTCTTCTTCCTCGGGTTGACTGACACCTCCTCTTGCACGTCTAAGGAGGACAGCCGTATGATATCATTTATCCCGCTCATTCTGAAAACAGAAACGCAATTTTTCCTTTCTTAATCTCTAGGGGTGCCTGTATGAGAGAGGTTAATTGTGATCTTATGGACATTTCCAAACTATATACCATAATCTTCTTACCATGTGCTTCTGCACTTCACCGTATTATTCACAACATGGGAAACTGTCATACTCATGTTATACTTTTCTCCAGCCTTTTCTTTAGGAAAATTGGCTTGTACCCTCAAATAACTTTGTGCTTTTTATTTTGATACCTTCTATTAATGGATTTGTGGTCCCATACAGTTGTACATACAAAGTAGTTTTTAGACCAATTAATTCTACAATGTTTTTCAAACCTCTGTGGACCAAAAGCAAAAAGGGAATCCTCCTTTCTAAAATCCCATCTTGATATAACTGTTCCTTTCAACCTAAACTGTTTTGCAGACATTTTAAAATGATAATCCAAGGAATCAGCTGCCATTCAAGGTTTCTTCCAGAGATGTTTGCAATCACATTCATCATCTTAGCATGCTGACAAGTTATTTAAAACATAAGTGCTTAGGATAATCTCTTTACTCACACATATTGGTTCTGATCTAGAAAAAAATAAGAATATCAAAAAATCTTCTATAATCTTCAACTGTGATGGATTACAGATTTTAATAAATGCGTGTCAGTTCCCCTCTCAGACAAAGGCCATATTCTAATTAATTTTTTTCTTGTAATCCAAGCTACAGACTCAAAAGACATATAGCTTGCCTTTTCAAACTGGGTCAAGTGTGGAAAAGATGTTATGTATCTCCTGCAGGAAGTAGGGTACTAATAAATAATGTCAATTTTTTTTTTTTTTTTTTTTTTTTTTGTAAGTGCGTGTGCCAAGGAAAACTTGGTGAGCTTCCTCCTAAGAAATCACAGAATCATAGAATCACAGAATGGTTAGAGTGGGAAGGGACCTTAGAGATCATCGAGTTCCAACCCCCCTGCCATGGGCAGGGACACCTCCCACTAGACCAGGTTGCTCAAAGCCCCATCCAGCCTGGCCTTGAACACTTCCAGGGATGGGGCATCCACAGCTTCTCTGGGCAACCTGTTCCAGTGTCTCACCACCCTCACAGGAAAGAATTTCTTTCTAGTATCTAATCTAAATCTCCCCTCTTCCAATTTAGAACTGTTACCCCTTGTCCTGTCACTGCACTTCCTGACAAGTAGAGGGTTAAAAAAAAAAAAAAAAGCCTAAGTAATGTACTAACATCACCAACTGTTTAGTAATTGTGGTGTTGTGATTTAATACCCATGGGAAAGCTTTACAAAAGTCAGCACTAAACGATGAGCAGAAGACATACAAAGTCACAGCTATCGGTACAGCAGCGTGTCAGTTAAAGACCTTGGCATGGCCTTTGTGAAGCAGCTGACTACACTCGTTAGTGTTTTATCACAGGGCTTTACCTGGCACAGTTCATTGCCGTGTCCGAGGATAACGTGCGCTATTTCAGATGGGTAGAAATTCTCTCTGGCAAACTCCGAGTCCAAGAGGAGGTAGCAAAGCTCAGCTCCTTTCCCTCTCTGATGGTCCTGAAGCGGAAGCAAAGCAGGGCTGGGGAGGAGAGGAGCCGTGTTCTCTTGGTGGGGTTAGAAACAGAAAAGGAGACCCACCTGCCACCCTCAGCCTGGGGCGTCCCAGGTTAGCCTTGGTTTTCACCACTTCTCTGCAGCAGGGAGAAGGTCTGACCGCCCATCTCGGTTTCACAGGCTTGTGCTGTGGTGGATGGGGGACTTTCAAAAGAAGAAGAGGAAAGAGACATCCGGCCACATTTCCCCTGATTCCCCTCTGTTACCATTGCACTGTTTTCTTTTTAGACCAAAAAAAAGCAGAAGAAACACCCCCTTCTGTCTTACTGACCTCATTCCCTTGTTTTAGCAAAGTCACATCCTGTGACCCTGTAATTAGTCACAGTAGATTTGAGATGGTCTGATTTGCCCTGATAAATTCTGCTGGACATTCAAGGTTAAATTTCTTTTTTTCTCCCACTCCTCATTAATTTTAGTCATAATCACTTTACCCCTGATTTTTTCCCCCTTAAGCAGCACATGCCCTTTGTCCAGCAGTCCCACTTTTGTGCTGCAGTCCCTGAAAAGGGATGTAGTTCTTGTCTACAGGAATATCTGGGGCAGAGAAAGTGTGAAACATTGAGGCAAGGAAGGGAGCCTGAGTGGAACAGGGTTTGAACTCCGCCACCTCAGACACTGGGATCTTACCTGTCATGGAGAGCTGGCACTAGAATAAATTCCAAAATTCAAAAATCAGAGACACAGAGTGACAAACGATCTGTTCCCTGTAGCCTGGTGTGAACAAACAGCTGAAAAGCCTTTCAACCCCGGCAGCGAGAGCAGAAACCAAACCACACGTTCAGCTGAGCGAGGCCCTCGAGCTGAGACAGGCAGTGGGACACCAGGCTCTCATTTCTCCCCGGGGCACAGGGAGACACCATCCACTGTTCTGTACCTTTCCACTTCAGTAGTTGTCCTCATGCCCAAGCACAAAACGTACTAAAAAACTACATCTCTTAAGACTAAAGCTGAAGGAAATATCTAGGTACAGATATATATATTTATATATAAATACAGATAGATATATGGGTGTTAGATGTGGACGCTTAAACAATCCTTGAAGAGTCTTCTCTGGTGAGTTTAGCAAAAAGAATGGTAAGGTGTTTCGGGTACATGGAGAAGTCCACATGTAGACACCCTTTCAATAAAGCCGTCCATGTAAACAACCAAATCCCATTCACATACATCTCATTAGACTGTAAAGATGACATGACAATGAAACACAGGTTGTCAGATTTATTTTTCAAGCAATCTTGTCTGTAAGATACAATTACCTTTCCAATAATATGCAAAGAGAACTGAGACGTCTAACCTTCATACAAAAGCTGAGCAATAAATTCATTTAAGTCTAAACTTTGAAAATGAAAAGCAGCATTGCACTGGGAAACAGAAATATATTCCGATACAAAATGTTCCAAAAATAGTAGCAGTGTTTCTTGAAGAAAACACCCTGTAGTGCTTTCTTTTTGTGCTCCAAAGAGATTATATATTTTTTAAAAATCCTAATTTTCTTTGCATACTGCATTTCCTGGGCAGAAAACCAAGCAAGGTGCACGCACATACAACAGAAACACAACCACGTGGTTGTGCATTTGTGGGGCAAAGGAGGGAACAGAGAATTCTCGAGTGAAATCCTGGTCTCACCAAGCACTGGACTGGAAGGCACCGGCAGATACAAGTCTAATTTTAACCCGTAGTTGTAGGACTTTAATCTACCAAGGGAAGGAGGCAGCAGGGAGCAGAACAAACATTGCAGGCTCCATCCTTACCCCAGCAGCACGTACGTACCAGCCACACAACAGACCAACAGCCAAGGTCAGCGGGAAGCAGAGCAACTTAGTGGAGCCAGGATTTCATCCGACACTCGGAGCATGCGTGGAACTGTAACAGCATCCAAATTTGACAGTACAAAAGCATTCAGTGGTTCAGTATAAAAAGCTCTCCTCTTTGACAATAACACTCTGCCCTTCATTCTTCCTTCTCCCTTTGGCTCCTTTCACCCTCCTCTGTGTTTCATTGGCTACTTCATTACCTATGCACAAAGAAAACCCAAATCCGGAGCAGCGAGACTCGCAGATCAAAACTTTAGCTATTCTTATGGCTGCTTTTCCTACCGGGCAGAGCAATACCTGGAATTCCAGCCCCTCGGGACTGTGAAAATGGCACTAGGCTTCTCAGGAAGAACAAGGCTGTGCGTTTATCAGCAAAGTGTGCGTGTGAGGCAGGCTGAGAGCAGACAGCTTCCAGCATCAGTGCTCGCTGAGGGGAGCAGGGCTGCCAGTGCAAATGGCGCCTGCCCGCTGCGTTGCGCCTCACAGGCCCGACTGGTGATGTCTAAGCCATGGCTGCCTCTCAAGGTGGCATAGAAATCCCTGAGCAAAAGCCACAGGAGCGGCCCTGAGCTGGAAGGAAGCGAGTGCTGGTTTGTCAGAGAAAAGGTGTCCTCAGGCTGCAGTTCAGCCCTGGGCTGGTGCAGAGGAGCTGGCGGCAGAGCCGGGCCAGCCCCCCGGGCAGCGCAGGGCAGGGCAGCCCTTCGGGCACACCGGGGAGCTCCCATCAGCCTGACTGGCACTGCACGGGGTGGCATGGACAGGCTCCCACATGAAAGCCTCTAAAAGCACGACAGCAAAAGGACAGAAGCTAACTCAAAGAGTAGTGATTTAAACCTCTCAGCCTCCTGCGTTTCCCAGCTGCTTGTGCGAGGCGGCCTATTCCCTTTGTGTCGGTACCTCCGCCGGCCGAGGCGCACAGCATAAGAGAGAGCAAACACCTCACGTGGAGCAGCTCCCAAGCACAACAACTGCCTTGGGTGTCAGAGTGCCCTTCCCAGCTGCAGAGCTGTTGCCCCCGCACTCCCTTCATCACACAAGGTGACACCTGACAGCAGGTCTGTCCACACATCCCCACCAGCTTCCACGCGGAGACGGGAAAAGGGATGGGGGAGGCTGGCTTTAACCTCTCTCCCTCCTCCAAGCAATTTAAGTTTACATTCATAAGAGAGGGATTTAAAAAAAAATATTAAGATCTAGATTTCAAATATTTAACAACTGAACATTTTCAAGATTTAACAGGATCTCATTTGCTAGTAGTGCAGAATTTCTAAACTATTTCTTGCATATTGTTATTGTGAAAACATTCACAAACACTGTTAAAATGAAAGACTTTCATTTTAGAAAGACTTTAAGTTACAAGATTTAAAATGTAAGTATCCCTTTCATCTCTGTTTCTCTGATATATTATTTTTACCACATGAACAATCAACCTTAATCAATGGAACTCATTAACCAGGATTTTCCACCACAAAAGAATCCACCAATAAATTTTTCTTTCACCTTAAATTTTTCTTAATAATAACCCTGTACACTTAGAAGATAAACTCTATTACTTAAAAAATTACTTCTGAGATATTTTAGGAAAAATATAAGGAAAGCATCCGATTGATGCGGAAACACATACATGAAAGTGTAACAGTTTTAAGAGGAAAATACCACAATACATGCATCTGGGTATCAACAGTTTCTATGCGAAAGTCAGGTGACTGGTTTTATGGAAGGCACCATTTGTGTGTGAAACGGCAGGTGCTGCCTTTTGCTGGTCCAAAATTGAGATTCTTAAAGGGGGGGACACATCAAACAAAGCCAAAACCTGATTGCATCCACTGCTTCCAGTTACTGTTTGATGACACTGTGGGTGCTGTACACGATGCCTTCCGCCCGAACACGCTCAAGTATTGGTCCGTAAACGTTCTTTGTCAATGGTATAACCATACCTTTGGCATCTATTTCACCTGAGAGAAAGGTAGGAAAAAAGTAATATGTTAAATGTTGTACTGGGTTTACCTGGCAAAGCTTTGGCAGCGGTGGGGGCTGTGGGGTGGCCTCTGTGACCCTGTCTTGTGTGTGACAGTAACTGGGAGCGATCTCCCTGTCTTTATCTCAACCCACGAGCTTTGTCGTTTTATTTTCTCCCCCTGTCCTGCTGAGGAGGGGCAGAGAGCAGCTGGGTGGGCCCCTGGCAGCCAGCCACGATCAACCCACCACAAGTTAAAAATATCAATTTGTAATGATATACATTTTAATTTTTACAATCAGAGTTATCAACCTTGGCATTATGTTCTCACACAGCAGCAGTACAGTATCAAAGGACAGGGAAAAAAGACTGAAATAGTAGTATACACAGCTTGAATTTAATTCATAGAGCTGTGAAACTGTGAGTATGAGAAAAGCATCTAAACTTCAAAAGTCTGGGTTTTGTTTTTTAAACTACAAAAAACACCTCCCAAAAAATCCCTAAACCCCAAGATTTTGCTCATTTCAATTAGCTGGGAGAAAAATGAACTTCTAAAGATTAAGAGCAAGCAAGGGGAAATCACACTATTTACTTAAACAGAGTGACGACCAGGCAGAGTCTGGCTGTTTATATATACACACACAACACAATCAGGTAATGTTCCTCAAGCCTCAAATCTGATCAATCCAGAAAGCAGCAGTGGAAGTCACCAGTTGGTTCAGCACAAGTATATTCTAGCCCATTTCACTGTGGCATAATCAATCGTAATTTACTATATCGAAGGTCTCTTCTACACCAGTGAAACACTTAAGACAAAATTACTAAAAATCTCTATAGATTAAGAAGTTAAGATGAGTAACTGAGACTTCTAAACATGCAGATTAAAAATTCCTGTAAAGACGACAAGAAAAGATTAATTAAATATAAAAAAGTATATATAATATATATGCAGAGACAATACACATCTGCTTCCTACAGGCAATTTTATCCAGAATGATAAAATACTGTTGCTGAAGCCTGAACAGTCACTTACCATCCAGAACCATCTTAGCAGCAATGGCCGTGGGGTATCCTACTGTTTTAGCCATCGCAGAATATCCTTTGTTATCGCCATAGACAACCAGATCAATAAATTTGTCTTCCAAATGACCAGAAGGATGCCTGAGACCTATTTCATTTCTCATAACAATCATATCTCTCTCTCCAGTGCCTAAGAGAAAAGCACAAAAACTATTCATTACTTGTATTTCTGTCATAACAAGATGAAGTTCCTGAGGAGCAAGGCACTGTGCATACACAGCTCATAGAATCATAGAATGGGTTGAGTTGGAAGGGACCTTAGAGATCATCGAGTTCCACCCCCCCTGCCCTGGGCAGGGACACCTCCCACTAGAGCAGGTTGCTCAAAGCCCCATCCAGCCTGGCCTTGAACACTTCCAGGGATGGGGCATCCACAACTTCCCTGGGAAACCTGTTCCAGTGTCTCACCACCCTCACAGTAAAGAATTTCTTCCTAGTATCTAATCTAAATCTCCCCTCTTCCAATTTAAAACCGTTACTCCTAAATCCTATGGCTACAATCCCTGATAAAGGGCCCCTCCCCATCTCTCCTGTAGGCTCCCTTCAGATATTGGTAGGCTGCTATAAGGTCTCCCTGGAGCCTTCTCTTCTCCAGGCTGAACAACCCCAGCGCTCTCAGTCTGTCTTCATAGGGGAGGTGCTCCATCCCTCTGATCATCTTCATGGCCCTCCTCTGGACCCATTCAACAGGTCCACGTCCGTCCTGTGTTGAGGACTCCAAAGCTGGACACAGTACTCCAGGTGGGATCTCATGAGCGCAGAGGGGTAGAATCACCTCCCACAACCTGCTGGCCACACTTCTCTTGATGCAGCTCAGGGAAGTGACTTATGATTGGAACTATTAGCGAGGACAGAATATTAAGATGAAACTAAAAACATAACAGGGAAAGAAAAGGATACATTGGGGGAGTAGAGAACATTGCAAGACATTAAATAACCTAACATGAAGTTTTTTTAATGGAGGTGAAGAAACTAATCTAATTAAGACTGATAAGAGATACTGCCTTGTTCCACTCAAAGCCATGGAAAAGAAGGATTTCTTACGTACCAAAGGGCAGCTTCATCTCCATGTGCTTTGCAAGAGCCCCCACAATGGAATCTGCTGCTGGAACTGGTTCATCTCCCAATAGACCTAGCCTGGAGGAAGAAATGAGACATCATTGCCTATTGACAGCTTAGCCTCAGTTTTGCAATTTCCAGCTTGTTCAGCATACCAGTTTAACAGTCTCAACATGGACGAAAAGGAGCAGAATTGTAATCTTTCTTTTTAAAAAAAAAACTTAAAAAATAAAAACAATCACTGGAAAAATCTTACCATTCCACTGCCTCCAGCTGACTTTCGTCCTTTTCCAGTTTGTTAAATACGGCTTCTTTCAGAACATGGTACTCAGCAGGTGGCTTAATTCCAACCAGTTTGCACATGAGCTCTTTCTGTATTAAAATAAAATGTAAAAAAAATTCCTTGAGGCCCAACATCTGTTCCCACTCCTTTCCAGCCAAGGTTTTGAGAACCCACTGCTCCACTAAACTCAGTTAAATACCCAGGACTTCTGAGAAGACAGGTGGTGCATACAGGGAAAGGGAGATAGTTTGAGATTTTTAATTGCAACAAGTGAGAATAGGGGTTGTTTTGTCCTACAACACTTTGTACCCCACCACTCAGCTGCTTCCTTCCATTTCTCAGTCTTATCCCTTCCTCTGGCAGTGAAGAAAGAACATAGAAATCTGCATAAACAAGAAACACTGGGAGGATGTCAGGGTGAAAGAGAAGCCACCAGACAGAGAGTCAGGAACTTAAGGATGTCTTTCAGCCGGTCTAGAAATGGAGAACATCCCTTTCAAAAGGAAGAAAACAGACTGATGAGATGAACAAGGCTCTGGAATTCCTGGGAATAATCACCAAAAAGCTCTCTGAAGATTTTATGGAGGCCATTTTGTGCCCCCTCGGTGCTAATTATTGCTTGCTTCATTCACATCAAGAAGGGTGATAAATGGAACTATGAACAAGATATAAAGCAAGCAAGAACTGCAGAGCCTGTTCAGAAGCACAGGTCAGTCTGTCTCCTCTGCAATGCATGATTCCAATCACTAAGCACATCCACTCTTAGCAATAAGAAAAACATTAATAAAACAGAGGAAAGAGTAATCAGAGTAACTCACCCAGGTTAGAGGTGGCGTGGTTGAGCTTAGCAAAGGATGAGGATCTGGGTTAATTAAACCTAGTTTTACAAAACCTCTCATAGTCTTAGAGTATCCCTGAAATAAAAGAATAACACAGTTAAAAATAATAATCACTTGAAACTGAGGTGACTAATTCTCCTTGGCTTGATTGCAGTGGTGGACACAACCATGGCAGTGTTGAGCGTTATTCCCATGGGGAGGCAGCCACAACAGCACAATGCCAATGGAGTCACTGCTACAGAGCAGTACCTTCCCCAGTCCTTCTTCACCCCTTCCCCTACTTTTTCATTACCCTCTTTAACGACTTATTACTATTCTGCCATCAATACTTCCATGGCAAGTAGCGTTGGTTGACGAGATCAAAGGGCTAGGCTGGCCAGCAGTAGTTCAAACTCCAGCAGGTCATTACAGAGGGGGTTGGATCAGCCAGTTGGCCCCTACGCTCAGCTCACCCCAGTCTTACACCAGTGTGATTATACAGACATCAGATAAACTGATTTTACAGATAAGAATCCTGTGTGTTTGTATCTCTCCACCAGGAATATCAGAGAGTCAATCAGGACAGCAGTGGAATGGTATTTAAAAGGAACTGCAAAGGCTGCATGATAAGAAACTCCCAATTGGTTTCTGCTCATTATTGTTTGTATCCCATTAACATTCCCACACAGCTGCTAGATACCTGAAAACCCTTACATGCAAGTGACTAGTAGCACTGTTAAAAAGCAGGACAGTGAAAATAAAGCACCCTGAAAGAGGGCTAAGAATAATTAGGAGCCACCTCCACCAGCACTAGGTTATCAGCTCAGATGGTCTGGCAGTGAGATTCTTCTGTGACATCTCTTTTAAAACTGACTCCACCAGCTACCTGAAGTTAATCTGGAAAAGGCAGATCTGGAAAAAGACAGGTCCTGAGGAGCTGTCAGCCTCGGGACTGACCAGAGTGCTTTCTGCTCTGCGATACCCTCTGCAAAGGGCCAGCATTTTCTTCTGCCCCGCTCAGCGCTGGGCACGTAGGTACCACACAGGCAGAGGCATGGCAAGCTCTTCCATGCAACCCTACCAACATCACCCCAACCCAAAGGAACAGACCTGCTTTGGGGGTTTAAAAAATCCAGCAGTAACCAGAGAAACATCATTCTTGCAGCACACCAATAACAACTCTTCGTGTCACCCTGACATCTTTGGTGTTCCTTGTGCTAACACTTGCACAAAAGAAGAAAATTTTACCAGGCACCAAATGGAAGAGGAGATACTGTCATGTTAAGATTTCAGGACGAAACAGATGCCTTCCACATACTTTTAGCTTCTGAACAAGAGATTGTATCTAGACTGACAAAAAGAGAGCTATTGCAATTTGTAGCCCTTATTCCCCAACACTGGCCTTCCATCTTCTTTGGCTAAGCAAGCCTCCCTCCTTCCCAGAAATAAGTAAAAAAATGTGTGGTATTGCAACAGAGAAATTAAGAAAGAAAGGACATACACATTCCTCAAACAACAATAACTTAAACCTTGACATAAACCTTAACTCTATAGACATATCACAACATCCATAAAAGCCTTTTCAAACCTTCAATATCGTTTCTTTTTCAAACCTTCAATATCATTTTAAATTTATTCCTTCTCAATGTATTTTGACCAACAAAATAATTAAAATAGAAATCTGAAAGAAAAAATACCATGTTTTCATTCTGCTTTGTGCACCTAACGAACAAAAGGAAAAGAGTCTATCTGTTAGAAGGAAAATACATTTCTCTCTTAACGTTTCAGTTAACTGACCAAAATGTTAGAGATGCTCAAATTCAAGATTTCCAGTTACTTAATGAAAAACTCTCAGTTTGATGGAAAACCATAATTTTCTGTAAGATTTTTACAGTATGTTTTCCACAGGAAGATAAGCAACAAACTGTAAACTCAAATTTTATCAACTTTAAGAGAATAGATCAGTTCTCAAGAATACGTAACAGCAACACACATCACTCAAACCCATCAGATTTATTTTTTTTTTTAAATCTTCTACTGATCTGACACCAAATACAGTCAGAGAAAAAAAGAAACACAGACACAGACTATGCAAGGCAACTGACCAGCTGTCAAAACCAAGTAAAACTATTTTTTTTGTTTGCAACAAATACCTATTAAATAAACCAACTAAAGCTAGATTTAAAAAAATGAGAAGTTATTTCTCAGTTGGGATACTGAAGAGCTCATAAATAGCAAGTATAGAGCTATAGGCTGACTTTTAAATAAATACACAGTCTTCTTGAAATGACAACATTCATCTCTTGAGAAAAACAATAATTAATAACAACATCAACAACTACTTACTTTGTATCTTAAGGTGCCTCTCAACAAAGTGCGAGCTGTCTGAATACCATAGGGCTCAGCATATTTTGTACTGTCTCTGTTAGGAAAACCTTCGAGATTTAATCCTGGGAAAAAATCCATCGGAGTAACAGCATCAAGTAATGCTCCTCCAGCTGGAATATTGATGATCTAAATTTTGTGAAAGAACAGCAATATTATTTTGGTGCAGTGTTATTTATTTTATTTTACAACAGAAAAGATGAAAAATGCACAATATAGGAACAATATGCTTAGTGTTTCTGGTTCAAACAAAGGTGCAATCTAAATAAAGCAGTTGCACGAGCCATTTAAGTGTATCCTGTGCTGGAGGAGCACGCACTATGTCAGCCATTACTAATCAAAGGGCTAAAACAACCCACATCCTCCTCACACACACTGTTAATTCCCGCTGCGCTTACAGTGAAGTGGCAGGTTCTCATTTCACTTACATCAGTGGAGTTTTGGAACACCTCTCCAAACTATACCAATGTGAAGGGAGATTCTGCTCCCTGCTTTTTCGTCAATATTTTTACTTTTTTTTGTTTCTGTTTTTTTTATGGGGGAGAGCAGAAGGCAAATGTAAAGAGAAGTATGGGGTTTTGTTTCCTTTTTTTTTTTTTTAAGATTAAAATAAATCAGGTGCTATCACACTGGTAAAAAATTGCTGCCCATATGTATCTTTACTTGCAGCTACAAAGCACAGAAAGAATACACCGTTGAAGGCAAACAAAATAAGGTTGACTAGTTCTATTATCACTCCCAACCAAAGCCTTGAACCCGGCTTCCTTCAAGCAGCTGATGCACAGATCTGCTCTGCAGCATCAATACAAACTCATTTGGTGACTTCTGAGCGAAGGGGCAAGGTTTCCATTTAGAAGAAAGACTAAAGCAGCGAAGTCTGCAGCAACGCTGAAAGATCTTATTGTGTTTGTCAGGCAAGACACCAGAGGGGAAGAATCCTGCACAACAGTCAAAGACAGCTAAGGATTTAGCAGCAAGGAGGGAAAATCGCACAATTTACTGACAAGCTCGTATAGTGTTCTTGTAGTGAATCATTCATATGCATGATCTAATTTTTCCTAGCAATGGGTGAACCAGGTCAGACTTAAATCAGAAACATTTTCACATTCTCCAAGAGGCCCCTTCTTTCTTTTTAAATAATTATCCAATGTGCAGTCCCTGAATTTCTCCTTTCTTACTGCAATAAGAACACTAGAGCACCAAAATGTCATCATAAAACATCTCAAAAGATTTCTCCATGTTGCGGATCAAAAAGTTTAGATAATTAGCTAAACTTTACAGTGGTTATACAAGGCAGTCTCCTTGACATTTGAAGAGCCCCTGCTCAGTAACTACTCTGAGCAAGTGGGAGTGATCGAACAGATAGGATTGGAAAACAGAAATGTGATAATGGTTTGCAATAGCTTTGCACAAATCAGTTATAATCTTTCCATAAAACAGATACAGTGACATTTGCTAGGTTAAGTCTACTCTAATGACTCCTGCGCAAACAGCAAAACAGAGCTTATATAAAACACATCAGAAAGCACTGTACACTTTCACGAAATCCACTCAGTGGGTTACTGGTATTACAGATTGCACCAAAAGAAAAAGAAATCAAGAGTCCCATACTTGCACAGTTTACAGCAGATTTAAGCTGTTTGGTTTACAAACATGACTACAGAAAAGCAAGTAGAAGGATGCACTCTCACTTTGTTTCACAGATCCACAGACAGGGCAATTAAGTGGCAAAAGCAACACACAACAGGAATGGAAGCTGAACCCAGAACACCAACCTCAATCCAGTGCTTTAGTCATTAGAACATGCTCCTTAGTTGCAATCAGTTTCCATATAATAAGAATTAAGCTGGCAGCAGCCAGGCACCATCACCCCCCAAACACAGGATTAAGCGATGTACCCAACTTGCTTAGGCAACTGATTGTCACCAGCCTGAAAGTAAACACAGCACCTTACAAATCCCCCTTCCCTCCTTAGCCCAACTGCCCTTAGCCATCACCTTCCTTGCCTGACTTTAAATGGAAACGTTAGGACTACTTCACCTCTCCGTTTTTCAAATACGTAGCAGACTGAACTGTGTTCAGCAACACTCCTTGTGGGCTCCAGCTGAACTTGTATCTCAGAGGATTGTCAGAGTGCTCCGGAGCTGGCAGGCCACCGCAGAAAGAAGTGTAGGATATGACCTGTCAGATTTATCCACAGGAAAGAAACAATGAAGATAAGACAGACCAGAATCCCCATTGGTTCCTAAACTTTCTGTTGACATTGTCTCCCAAATGGACCAAATCAGAAGATCTACAGTGGACAGGGGAAACCAAAAGAATTTCACCAAACAACAGTGTCAAGTTATCACACTGCAGGCACTGTCTGTAAAGAAGAGGAAACCAAAGCAAACACTGGGGCAAAGCCATCTTAGTTGATGGTCTCACCAAATTGATTAGTTGGCACCAAATTGCAAGAATCAAGAAAAGTATGGTGTCCAGAGTCTGTTACACATCAGTGACGTGCCCAAGAACCGGGTAGTGTTAAAGGAACAACTTTACTCATAAAATCTTGGCAGAACTATGCACTGCCTGTCAATCTTACCGTAGCACCAACTTCTTTTGCCTTGTCAATACATTCCATTGCCAACATATGGTCGAGACCAGGATCCAAACCCATTTCACTGATAACTGTAATACCAGCAGCCTCTACGCTGAAAATGACAGAAATGCAGATTTGTCAGAATATTCACTGTTACTGGCCTTTTATTCAGGAAATCTGTTTAACCAGGGCCCAATGAATTTTCCCCAACACATTAAGTTCTGGGCTTGTGGAAAAAAACAAGCAAGCAGATGTTAAAACCTGAACAGTTACAATTGTGTATGAGTCATTCTAGCCTTGGTTTCTCTTATTTTGCTGCAACTTCTAGAGGCTGGAGGAAAAAAGAGATTCCTACCAGGTACTCCATATCCACATTCTCCTGGACAGTGCTATAATGCAGGAAGGTAGCAACCCACAGACAGCACAGAGCTCGTCACAATTGCCCTAACGAGCTCCTGTAGGGGAGAGATTGGAAAGCCCCCCTTTCTCAAATTACAAACATTTGTTTTTTCTTTTTTTAAGCTGCTTACACTCTCAGAGCAGCTCACTTATCACCACAAAGTGAGGCGATTTGTTTTATTTTCAAAATCACTTTGTATTTTGATAAATGACATGTCTTTTTTTTTGTGTCTTTTTTTGAAAGCATGATGATATGCGTGCGTCACAGCAAGAAGGGGAGGAGAGGCCCCTAAACCTCCCTCATTGCCTGCAACTCTGGTTCTCTACTTGTCTAGCTTTCTCTGTTTTCTCTTTTGTAGAGACACAGCATGTACAATTCTCTTCTCATTCACTTGAATTCACTTCAGAGTTTCCATCACTGTGACCAAAAAAGCACCTAGATTAAGCTCCATGCTCAAAACAACTTCCAGTATAATAATAGTATAATATATAATAAGTAGGACAACAGGAACATTAGAATAGTTAGAACTGTCACCAATCTGAGACTAATACAGTGGGCCTGTTCAAAAGACAGTGGCATGAAGGAGGATATTCTGTAGATACAATAAGCCAAAAATGAGTTTTTATTAGAGGAGTGTGAAGGATGACAAACAGGCCAGCCCAGCTGCTCAGTTTGAATATCAGCCCAGCTCAAGCATCCCAACAGGTTTGAGGGGAGAGGGGAAGGCACATTAACATGAAATAAGATGGAATACATGGAGAACAGAACGTTCCAGCATTTAGAGCACTAGTCTGACCAGACTGGGCTATGAACTCATTTCTCCACTCTGCCACAGCCTCCACATGCAACTTTGAGGAAAGGTACTTAGTCCTCCATCACAAATGGAAGAAGAAAGAATACAGAAAAAAGTAATTCACAATAAGCATTGCAGGTGTAATGGACTGCAAAATATTCAGATAATGCACTAAAGAAGGAAGCATCACCAGGGAGATGCTACTGTCATACCTACCTCTCCTGGAGTTCTTTCATAGCTGGTGTTAAGTAGCTGGCTGTTACCAAGTTGACTTTGTTGTCGATACACTTCTTAGCAACCAGAGGATGTACTGAATAAGGCAGCAAACTACAAATGAAGGAGAATTATGCAACATCAAAATCCAGCCAGTTACTTACGCTATTACTGGAAAGACACTCACAAATGTTTTCTGTATGCCTACAAAAAAGTTCAAGTAAACGCAACAGCCACACCTGCCTTGCCCTGAGCTGTTTTATACTCACACAAGTGCAATGCCACCCTTTCAGAAGAGCATTGTTGGATGCACTCAGAACAGGGTGCAGGACAATAGGGGAGCCATTCTTCAGACAGCATCTTTTGTCGCACTTCTCTTTGTAAAAAACAAACCACTGACCTCTTACCAAGGCCACCTTCTAAATAGGCATGCTGGGGGTTTAGAAGATGCAAAACTGTAAAACCATCCTTGAGAAAGCTTGCGTTACAATGATCTTGCTGAAGCATTTTGTGAAAAGCATGCTCCTCACAGAAAGGAAACCACTCATGACATCCAGGGCAAGAGGGACAAAATTGCAAGGACTATGAAGTCATTTTCTCCCCTGTTTCAATACCTGGAAAGATATCTTTCTTAACAGACTATTTAAGGGAAATGACCAAGATGTCAGAACTTTGCCTGCTCTTGCAAATGTGCAAATTTGATCCCCTCACACTAAGAAGACTGTCCACATAATTAGTGAACACTTCTAAAGAGATGCTGCAGTCAAAGCCCCTTTGAAAGTCCTGATGTCCTGCTACCTGAGGAGGCAGGGGCCAGCTGTAACTATTTACATACACAAATATGACCCCAGTTCCTGGGCATTAGAAAAAAGTTACCATGTTGATTTAGGTCAGTGAACTAGGAGAAAGAAGCAGCATGACTTCAGGTTGAGCCTATCATGTTTTACACAGAAATCTGACCTGATCACAAGGTCGTGATTCTTCACCAAAGAGGACAGCTTTTCCTCGTGCTTAATGGCATCCATATGAACTGAAGTAACGTTGCTGTATTTTTTCGTCAGTTGTTCAAGTTGTTCCTTCATGACAGATGCTGTTTTAAAAGTAAAACACACCAACTGTTACCTAAAGATGAAGGCAAGTCCAAAGCCTTCCCGTGTATACTTGTGCTTTACACACACTTCCTTCCTCCCAAAGAGAAACAGTTGTATGGATGTCTTCCTTCACTAAACAGTTGAAGAGAAATCAGGCATAAAGCACCTTACTTGCCCTAACATAGTCAATTTTATTATGAATTGCCAGTGTCAAGCCATAGCAGCTAGAACTCAAAAACAAGAATCTACAAAGAATACTTACTCTCAGAAGTGAAGAACCACTCACTGTTAAAATTGTGTAATGAGAAGTTGTAACCAACTTGTAACTAACTTGTAACTTCATTGATGGACTTAAAATTAACAAAAGTTTTGACTGTAGTTTGCCGGTCAGCACACTAAGTTAACAAAATTTATTTATGCAAAACTAGAAGTCATCTCCCTTCTTTTCCACTCTATGAAGAAGTAGGTCTAGAACACGAGATAAAGGACTGTTAAACCTATCTTTGCACAGTAGGACACCCCAGAACCCAGTGGCTCGCTTGTGTCATGTGTACGTGTCCTCCCACCATGGTTTTTTACAGCAGCACTGTCTACATTTGCCAGGTAACTGAGCATCCACATGGTGGGAAAACAGATAAACTAAACAGAAAGAACACCTCAGTGTTTTTTTAGAGAGAGGGGAAAAACATCTGCTGAATATCTTATAGGCTATGCAGGGTTGTGATCCACCCCATGTCTTTAACTCTGACCCCTCACAAAAACCTTTGGCAAGGTATATTCTATGTTTAAAAAAACATAGATACTGGGAGGTTCAGCCTTTGATATCTCAGATGAACACCTGTCACTCTTTGGTAAATGCCAAAATGTACTGAAAAAGAAATTACAATTTTTCAAAACACAATTGACCAAATCAGTGACAGAAGGAGAAAAGCAGATTCTTCTGGAATCCTTAGAAAGGAACAGTTGTCTTGGATCTAGAAACAGATCAACTAAAGAAAGTGTCTGAGGGTGAAGAATGCAAATAAGTCACAGAAGAGGGGCGCTTGGATGTGTACATTCAGGCTCAAGAAAATTTTGAAGAAAGATCACAAGAAAGCAGCAAGAGCTGTAATAAACACTACAATTGATATAGGAGACTACTGCCATCAGCCCTTACCAGTATAAGGAAAGCAGAACTGAAAAAGAGATCTGGGTTAAAGCAACCAGTATGCACCACATCTAACTGCCAGTGAATCAGTTTCCTGTCCCGGCTCACCATGCTGCCGGCACAAGGATGGCAATGGGCACACAGCCAGGAGAAAGGAGTGGGCAATGAAGGCAGCAGGTAGGGCACAGGCTTACAGAGAATTAAAATCATCTCTATCTCTAACTTATGGTCTTATTTCCTTATGGCTTTTCCAAAGTCAATGGGAAATAAACATTGCCTCAGGGTGATTCTCCCTACCCTAATAATCAACCTGTGCTGAGAGAAAGGAGCTGGGGAAAATCATCTACAAATTCAAACCAAAGAAAAGTTGATAACATGAAGGTTTCCCAATTAAGATTTTTGTGATTTGAATTTCAAGTGGTGTAGCCTAACAGTAAGGAACCAAATGTGGCACCGCGATGTGCATTTTATGCTTTCTTCATCTACTTGCCTGGTGTCAAACATTAGACAAGTAACTTCCTTGTGTCTCTTTGCTTCTGAGTCCATTTGTGTGTGTGCTTTAGAAACTGCACACCCAGATAAGCTACCCAGATAAGAGGGATCTCCTATGTTTGCACAGTGCTTGGGAAAACAGATCTTCCAGTTCACCTGGTTTCCCTTTCTGCAGGGACTAGATGCAACCTCTGTACTGATGAGGGGATGGACACTGCACGTTGCTGCAATCCTTCCCTCTTCACCACACCAGGCAGTGCTAATAATAAGGGTGCAGCTTTCTTAGAGTTCCCCTTTTCTTCCTAGGAAATCTTCTCCATGGGGTTAAAAGTACTATGGTTGTCACCGCAAAGTGCAGCAAAAGCAGCCAAGTATGAAAATAGCATGAGGGGGGAGAAAACAAACCAAAGAAACAACAAAAATCAACAGAAATACAACGGTAAGTTTAAAAGGAAATCACCTCCCAGAAAAGTTTCTTTCAGGTAACACAGCCTGGGTTTTAAAGCTGAAATCACAGAATGAGGGTGCAGTCAACATCAAGAGTACAGAAAGGTGGTTTTGAGATGCCCAGCCTGAAATATGCTAAAGATAACATGAAAACAGAAAAATAAACAAGCATGTGGGGCTGATGAGAAGGTCAGGGTCTGAAGGTTTACTGCCACAGTACTGGTTATAACAACAACAGAGGCTTCACTCATACTGATGTCTATAAAAAACATTTCATCTTGTGGTTGTATGAGGCTGAACACCCATCCCAGCACCAACAGAAGTGACTGACTAGCTACAAAACCAATCCCAAGCCTGAAGCAGGTTAGAAAGAAAAATACTTCTAGTTTCCCTACAGGTTACACATGCAAACAGCAAACTTTTAACATCACTATGTCATTTCCAAATCGATCGTATAAACTCCAAATGCTCAGAAAGCTATAAAATCTTCTTCTGTCATGCGTAATAACAAAGATTTTATCTGTTCTCAGAACCAGATCCATTTATTTTCTGTCATGCGTAATAACAAATATTTTCTTTATCTGTTCTCAGAACCAGATCCATTTATTACTTATAAGAAATGTTCTGCCACACTAGTAGGTTTAAATTAGACATAATTTTTCAATGAAAAGCAAGTGAAGTCTTACATACCAACTGTGATGCCGATGTTGGAATCTCTAGAGAGATATTCAAGTACAGGGCCAGAAACGTAGCCAGATCCCAGCAACAAAACCCTCTTCTTATTACCCATCTTCAGCGACTGAGCATGCTCCCTAGGAGGTGTTACAGGCAAAATTAAACATAAGTATGTTTTAGTAAGTCTATAAACCAAGAGCTGTATTCAGACCAAGAGCCAAGTTCCTGGCTATCCAGCCAAGGACTGGGCAATCACTGTCTAGTACTGCTTCCTTTCTTCTGCTGCATACCTTCTAGTTTCTTTCCTCTAATATAAACATGATCAAATCCATCAACATGTCCACTGCTTCTCCAGCTGCTACTGGCTGTTCAACAAATTTCTCTCCAGCTGTCATTATATTTTTCCCAATGGCCAAATTACTGGAACCTGATCATTTGAGGACCACCAAGCTGTCTGTGTCATGCTGAGCTGTTAGAAAGGGACTCCAGGCTCTGCCTTCCTCCCTTTACATCACAGGCAACCATTAAATTACACAAAACCATGCTGGTGAAAGCGTATTTTGGGTAAGACATACTAGGTTCATATTAGTCCATCACAGAAACACGATAGTCATAAAAGAAGAAAAAAAAAAGCTAATGGCCAATTAAGAAATCCTGTTTGCAGACAAGAACTCAGATTTGAAACCCTCACAGAGTGCTTCAACCAAGCTTCTACTACTCTGCTACACAAATTTAAGAAGCTGCTCTCCATATAAAACTTTCCATGTAAAAGGTATTCACATCAGATTTTGCATTTCTGTTTGCCAGAATAACAGAGTTCAGCAGTTGCTTAAATATGCTCTCATAAATGCATAAATTATAGTAGCAAAACTTCATTTTAGTAATTTATAATTATTTTTCCTTTTAGCTTAAATTTGCATTAAGTTGTAAAATTAGGATTGTAAAACTGTTTGTCTAAAGTATTATCACTATGCAGATAAAAAAAAACTATTTAGCAAACAAAAAAAGTATTTCTTAAAGCACTTTTTATTGTTTAAGAAAAGGAGTTAGTTGCCCTGTCTTTTAACCAAGTTAATGGACAATGAGGTTTGGCTTTCCTTAGTCCACATCCTTAAAAAAATTTTCAATAATTAGGTAGGTTCTTCAAAGATACAGACTCATGGGAATCTTCATAAGCATGTAAGTACGTTCCTCAATTTCCTCTTTATCTAGTGAGAGTTCACACAGGCATATAGTGCACTGTGGATTATGCCACCGAAAGAATCCTGACCTCTAGCTGACAAGCTCACGTCCACTTTGCTTAAAGCTATTGTCCTTAAAAGAGAACTAACCATGTAGCTACTAAATAATGTTTGTTTCAGGCCTTTATGGAGCTGACATGGCATCCATAAATCAATTTTCAGTTGTGTTTTTTCAGTTCAAAAATGGCTATAATAACGAAGGATGGTGTTGCAGTCAGCCAGAGCAGTACCTAACAGCATGACAAGAACGGTGTTGCATGACTTAAAACATGGCATGAAGTACCCGAGTACATTTTGGGGGAACAAGGCCTCAAACAATAGCATCAAAAGACTACCCTGAGTGAAGTTAAATCAATACCAAATACATCTATATCATCTGCCTGAAGAAAATTTGTTATGGAGACAGCCTCTTCAGGTGGTCTACCAAACAGCACACAACTAAAATCACTGTGAGCTGCTGTCTTCGAGAGGCAAACAGCATGTTACATTGGGTAGAAAACACACCTATAGCTCATCATGCACAAGTTCGTAACTAGAACTTCTAAAGTTCCCAAAGGAGATTGGAGAAGTTGGGCATGCAAGAGCCAATACACTGTGCTTTCAGTGCACAGTGCACACAGTGCTTGTGCTCAGACCAATTTCAACTTTTATATGATGCACAGTGCGGCTGGTGCTGACCACGAACATGAAGCCAGAGGTACCCACTTACTGTCAAATTTTTTCACAGGTCAACAATAGGTCTTTGTTAACAATAGGGAGCAAGGGGAAGGGAAGGGATTCCCAGGTTATTTATATTTTTGTTAGCTTAATCCACTCAATGCTACTTCTTTCACATCGCCACCAGCTGGTAACTCCTGAGACAGGGTATGGATGAAGTGGTAGCCAAAGCTGTAGCTACAGGAGTGTAATGGAAAGTCTGAGAGTCTCCCAGAGGCAGCCACAGAACAATGCTATGCAGCAACAGCACTTGAGCCATACTAGAGGAAACTAGATTCCAGGTATATTGGAGAGCCTTTGCCTTTCAGCCATTCCTTTCAAAGGACTGGATGTTATATCCATTTTAAAAGGGCAAGGAGTAACGGAATAATATTGGCAGGTGGCTGTTTTCTGCCTCTGGTAAAGTCATCTTCATAACGTAAGAAAGAGAAAAATGACCACTTTCTCAGCTTCGGTATAAGTTACTAACAACACATGTTAATGATTTAGGCAACGTGCATCAAGAAAGAAGGAAATCATCAAGCTAGGAGGCATTTAGACACAGTACAAGATAGCAGTATAAATGCAAAAGGGGAGATAGAATGCAGACAAGTGTTTTTTTAAAATCCTTAATAAACTTTAAGAACCTATACATTACCTGCTCTCCCTCAGTTTCTGGATATACTCATACTTAGCTGTCAGTGAGCCATTAGATGCAATCACTGCCTGGAAATACATGAAACAAATTTTGAGGGTTTTTTGTATCAGTACATTTTAAAGCAGAGGAAGACAAGCAGAGTGCCAAACTGCAAAACTTACATCTCGAACAACAGATGAGTAATTCTGGCTTTCAAGAGGTTCTGAGCCTTCTGACACCAGCTGTGGAGATAAGTTATTTGGAATCGGGTCATTTTATTTCCCATAATTTTTTTTCAGAGTAAAACATCAAGATTTTAAGCAACTTTTAAATGCATGCAACAATACCAATATTTTGCATATCTGAGATTCTCCTGGCCCTCATCGGTGTCATTTGACTTTTATGAAAACATAGGAATTCAAACAGAAGTCTGATTGTGAGTGATTGTTGAGTGCCCCAAGAAAATCAGATTTAGACATCTATTGCAGGGTCTGGAAACAATGAACTACCTGCCAGAACCTGATTCCTGCCTACAGAAAGTGTTCCTCACAAATTCCTAAGACATCCAGGTCACTAATGTCTCATTCACATGTAGCTTTTTGCAGGTGTTGCCTCAAGACCTAGAAAGCTTTTTTTATTATTTTTTATTTTTTAAGTACAAAGTCAGTTATGTTCTACAGCAGATTCATTTTGAATGTATACAGGAGACCAGAAAAGCAACAAACAAGCAGACCAAAGTCCGAGCCTTTTACCTTCTTGTGGGACACATAAGACCTTACCATCTCTTCAATATAAGGGAAAAGCATGTCCCCAAAGTACTCTGTTGCTTCTATAGGAAGCTGTGCTGGCAGATTGTCAATGGAACACATCAGAATCCCCTGGCCTTCAACACTGAAAGAGAGAACATAGCTCTTCTGAACTACTTCTCCTTGGTACCTGAGAGACAGCACCTTTCAGGAATGTTTTAAATGTATGATTTTTCAATAGAATGTTTCACTGTACAAATTACAGAGGAAAGCAATACAAATTAAAGGTTCTCCCACCTGTCATGAATGATATGCTGGTCAGCATCATACATACAAAATGGACTGTCAATTGTTGTACACTCCGTCATAAATTCTATAGATCCTCCTGTGTCTGCTGAAATGTCACAGATTGCCAGAAGTCTAAAGCGATTAAATAAAATGAGAAAGGAATAGATCATTACCCAAATTACTAAGGAACATACATATTAGAGATCACAAGTGAAATAGAAATAAAAGAAACACAAGAAAATCTATCATCAGACTTGTGGTTTCATTTATCTTAACCAATTTAGAAGTCAACACAACACAAACAATGACCTCTAGGAATGTAATGGAAATCTCGCCCTACTGTAGTCATAAGATTTCCACTCACCTCAACAGGATCTGTATTTCATGTGTAACTTCTCAAAGACCAGGATAATCCCCTCACCCATCATTTTTTCTCTGTATTCCATGTACTTCCAACACCTCTCATTCATTATCCACCTACCAATTCTCCTGAGTTGTCCCTGGGCTGTCCTGTGCTAGAATAACTTCAGCATCGTAAAGGGAAACCTAAAGGGGTGGCTGCTCCTTTCAGTTCAGAGGCAGCTGGCACTGGTGAAGCATTCGTTAGCCTAACTCACAATCTCTGGCTCCACTCCAGGCTAACACTTAAATTCTTCATTTGTCATGTGAGAGAAAGAAAGGTGTCAGGAGTGGGCAAAGAAGAGACAAAGATCTGCTTCCTCAGCAGGATACACTGTCATATCCTCTCCAAATCTATCCCCAGGCCAGTCTCCCAGAGAATTATTACAAAGGGTTATTAGAGAAAGGGTGGCTCTCACCCACACTGAAAGGAGACTAACCCTGGGTTTCCACCCTGTGTTCCATTCTTAAAGCTATTCAGGCTTGTGAAGCATTCCCACTACCTGCTGCAGAAATCAGAGCTGTTAAGGAACAGTTATTGAACTTGTACAAACCAAATTGCAGGGCAGGAAGAACTTAACCAACACGCTCTGCTCAGGCAGAAAAACTTCTAGCAATAATGGTGCAGTAGGTACATTTCCCAGCTGTCACTCTGTTTGTACAGGATTCTGCACAAAGATCAATGGCAGAAAGACAGCCAATACCTGCCAATCATTTGTACTGTGATGTTTTCAAAACCTCCCAACTGTGAAAATAAGACTGTAAAGCTCAGAAGAATGAAAGCAGAATCAATGGGGCATTTTGCAGCATGCAAGAGGAACAACATAAGAAACAGAAACATTTGGTAGATATTGTGGTGAAACTGCCTAACATTATGACATAATGTTGGTGCTGCAGAATTGTTACATGCAAACTGAAGTGTCTTACTTGTGTGGTAACACAGGACAGCCCTCTGTTGCACCACCAGGAGATCTAACTGGCACCAGCAGGTTCTGAGCATCCTGTCGACTTAGCAAGCGAGGAGTATGTTGTTCCCAGTATATGCCATTAATTAAACAAGTTGTGTAGGGTGCAATCTGCAAAGAAAGTTACAGATGCCTGATGTTCTCATCTAGTACTTTAAGAAGCTGAAAGCACCTGGTCTGGTGTTTTAAATGAATGCTCTCTCAATTGACAGAGGCAAAGGTTTAGTAACTACCAACACTCTGCAGAAAATCCTTCATAAAAGAACAGAAGAGATGCTCACATCAGTGTTAAAGCGAGAAGTGTAAAGTTCTGGATGTTTATCATAGTCTACTGGATCATACAGTCCATCACGTTTCCTTACAAGATGATGGTGACGACTTAACACTGTCCCATAGACTTTTCTGAGGTCTGAAGTTAAAAATAAAATAAAACAAACAAACAAACAAAAAATTAGCTGTTCTACTTGGACAAAAAGGATTACAGTGTTTTCAATCACTTTATTGCCACAGCATACCTCCAGATCTAGAAACTTCCTTTAACTCATGTGGTTCCACAAACTCACATGGGAGGGCATTGAACATTTCTTGAGCACCCTGTAAACCAAGAAATAGGATTCAGAATGAGTGTGAAAAATAAAGGTAGTGTAACACTGCTCATTTGGTGTGTGAAAATAAATATAAAAACATGCACAATGTGACAGTCCTGCCAGAGAGCATCTTCAGAAATGTACAAACTGTTTCACACATACCCTTGCTTACCCAAAACAAAGCTGTTTGGGCTCTACGCACAAGGAATTTACATCATTCCACACTACTCCACAATCCAACTCCTGGTTTACATTTCTAATAGCAGAGCTGGGAGACCTTAACTCTGCCACAATACATGGTTTCGCTGCCACTCTGTGAAGCAGCTTCTCTTTAGGGAAGACCCCTGAAGCCACTTCTCATCAACCAGGTTGTTCTAAAGGCCAAGAACTTCAAGATGACTTTCGCAACAAGCTGTGATCACTGAACACAGACCTTTCAGACACACCACCCTTTTGTCCAGAAAGCACACATTTACATAGGCAGTGATTTCACTTTATGGCTGGAGCCTAGTTAACTGATCTTTGTTGCCAAAACCAGGGGTAAGCCTTTTCCCTATGTGGTAGAAAATAGCTCTGAAATCCAGCACTTGTAAGCCAAGTCAATGCGATCAAAACATGTATAAAAACTCAGCGCATATTAGAAAAAATAATTATTTCCCCCATACTTTAATGGGGTGATTCAATATACTTTGTCTCCCTTGTGAGAGAGGGAGACAAAAATTATGCAGGTAGGAAAGGAGAGAGGAGCAGTAAGACAACTCATTTTTCACGGTAAGAAGTTAGCGTGGTCAGCCTTGTCAGGCATGATCTCATCTTAAAGGCATTAGTTTAGGGCACCTAAAATTCATACTGGCAAAGGAAAACCTGAAGTCCAAGCAAACAAAATGAACACATCCACCCATTTCACCTGCTAAGTATCAAATGCCAAGAAGTTCTATTAAAAATAATATAGAATTTCATCTTGAAGGCAGAATTCTTACCTTAGAAACATTACCAGTGCCTGTAAACACAAATGTTAAGGGCCCAACTGACTTTGGCATCAATCCCAGTGAAATTTCATACCCAGCATCTCGTACTGCTTGCACAGCCTGACTGCTATTCCTGTAGTTATGTGCCATCCCAATGTGCTGTAATCAAAGACACAGAACCATCAAGTTATTTTCCATATTCAAATACAGATAATTAGCAGATGCCCGAATGTCATTTTGCTAAAGAAAAATGCATACATGTATACTCTTACCATGAAGGGAGTGTGATGTCCCAGGGCTAAAAATCGTAATCCCAATCCATGTAGAATGTTGATCATTCCTATTGTTAAAAATAAAATAAATAAAAAAAAAAAACAAAAAAAAAAAACAAAAAAAAAGAGAAAGACCATCGGGGTTAATTCTGAATATGCACAGTTAGAAACTGCAGAGACTGACTGAAGCCTAAAACCATCCTGGATATTTTTGCCTGTGTTTCAACAGTAATAGTTTACTTCTAAAGAAAGTTTAGATAAAACCAGGGAAGGAGAAATTCAATATTCAATAGCAGTCCATGACCTTAAACCTGCCCTTGGCCCACATTATGCATTTCAGCACTATTTAATACTTGGATATCCTTTTATGAGATGCATCCACATCACCAGATTCCAAAGATGCAGATAATAAAGACAGTCTCCTGAAGAAAAAGAGCTGAAGTTCAGTAGAAAAGAATGAGAACCATGCCTCACAGAAATCAGTGCAAATGGGTAACAGAGTGACAAACAGATGTTCAAACTTGCAGGACTGACAGCAACCATTTCTTTCAAAAGCCTATTCTGTTCATCTCTTGATATTTAGTCTGCCTCAGATTAGTTGAATAGACAAATGGGACTTCGAGACAACATAAAGTAGCAGATTGGCGAGGAATCCACAGGACTATTTGAAATGTAGTCTCATCAAAAGTAGGGAGCACAAAACAGGATGGAAGAAAGCTCTTAAAAGCAAGAGTTAAAAATGCAGTTAAAAACGCATTGCAAGCCTCAACTTCCAGGAAATGCAGACAACCAGAAGTATTACAAGAAGTTACTTGTTGCAAGCCTGCCTTTACTTTATGCACTATACCTGCTACACCAGCCCACTTTCCAAAGGCCACAACTCGCATTCCTTTATGATCAACCATTTTTTCATAGTCAAACAGTCGAATTTCCTGAAAATACATAGCAAACTGAGTATTAAAATTTTCAGTGAATGCAGTCAGTGGCGTGTTGCTCTCCTAGGAACTACCTTTTCCTACGCCTTTGTCATCCTTCATGGTAGAGGCTGATGGGCACATATGAGAAAGGCAAATCATTCCTAGCAAGATTTAAATGTAAAAATAAAAACCTAAAGGACGCATTAAATTCTTGTTTTAAAGAGTGTCTACGCTGCCCGTGCACTCTTGGCACAGAGCTCTCCAACCTGCCAGTCCAGCTGCTGCAGGCCCATTCACGTCCTCTGCCAAGAGGCTGCTCGTTTCTGGGTGAAAAGGCCGCATCCCTCTGTGATGACCAACACGTGCTCTGGCTTAACGACCTTCCAACAAGCCTTCGTGCTCACACAACGTGAACCTCTCCTGAGCACACCACGCTCACAACTCAGCTGCCTTACACACATAAACACAGCAGCACCACAAGCATGAGATCCTCTGAGCAAGAAACACTCAGCGCCAGAGAAGGAGACTGAAAACAGTCCTCATTAGCTACCTACAAATATGCATGCTGAAAGTAACCACGCTAGGCAGCAAGCTTTCCATCACACTTCAGCATTCAGTTCAGCTTCCACCCCATGCAAACTGCCAATTGTCTTCACTATGACACTATTTACCTGTCTTAGAATCTCATCCAAAAGGGGCATGTTTGCCTCTTGGGCTTTAATAGTGTGAGAGAAGAAGGCATAGTTCTTTTTAGGGATCAATTTGTCTTCTGGAGGTCTCTTCACACCTATTATCAGAGAAGCCTCAGAAATATCTTCTTGAATAATGCCACCTGCTTTGATGTAATCCTATGAAAGAGAAAAATCAAAGTAAATCTCTCTGAGTGTTTTTTCATATTTAGATCTCAGCACATAAGCAACTAGAAGAGAGGACAAATAGATAATTCTACAAAGCAGAAACAAGTTACTGCATGTGATACATTCATAAACCTCTTTATCAAAAGGGGTATCAAATATCAAACTGAATTTCCATGCTAATATCCTATTATACAGTTATGTGTTAATAAAATCCTTCATCTTAAATTCACAGACTACAAAAAGGATATTTTACTGCATTTAAAGTATCTCATAGTATTGCAATAATGAACAGTCCTTTGTGATGTGTTGAAATACTTGGAAATAAATTTAGGCAAATCTGACAAATTAATCTGAAGACTGTTGACATGTGATTTCATAAAATTGTATAAGGCTAAGTCCAAGCTGAAGAGCAACTTCTAGAAGAATGTTTTTCCATATCAAAATTTATTTTTGTTCTCCCTTATCTCAAAAGCATATTAAAATTCCAGCTTTCAATATCGTAGTTGTGTACTTAATGTGATCTGTGCTTTGAAGAAAACCAGCACTGTGCCTAAATTAAAAGGTGACATGTGAAAGTGATCACTAATTCCCTACTTATGTTTCAGTTTTTAACTTAGAGCAGAATATTACTGCTGCTACAAGAACTGTAAAAGCTCCCAGTCCTGAAACTCACAGCAATAAAGAAGAAAAACCCTCTCTTCTCATTTTATCATGGGGAATGGTATTGAAGTAGGAATAGGATTCACCAGATTCGTCCTTCCTCTTTTTTTAAAAAAAATGCTTATTTTCTAGAGTGATGCCTCCATACAAACAGAAGATAAAAACACCAGTGTTAAATGAATTACCAAGTTTCTACTTCAAATGCACCTAGAATTTCTTCAGAAACAAATGAAAGGGCAAGAAATGAGTAACAACAACTCCAAAAACCCACCAGTGTGCCAACATTACATTAAAAGGCTAAACAAACTACTCCTTTATTCTCTCCACTAGAGCACGATGACTCCTCATTTAACAACAAAATTAGTAACATATTTTCTCATATATATCCTGTTAACATTATTCTTCCTGGACTATGGTTCATAACTGAACTCTGGTTTTGCTTATCTAACTCAACTTGGCACCTTACCTTTTCATGGAAGGCCCTCCGGTTTGATGGCTGCACCAAGACCTTGTATCCCATTTGTGTCAATTCCTTCACATGCCTTGGTGCTAGAGGTGCTCTTCTTTCCCATGAGTTGACATCTTCTCTCCTGATTGCCAGCACAGACTTACGATGATGCCACCGCTTAGCCTGACGGAACGCACACCTACCATTTGTGTGACTAAAGGCTCGGAGCATGGTAAAGCCTGATGGCAGCAAAGACAAAGTAGTAAAATAATACATGTATATGTAGGCTTCAAACATTGCTTGTGCAAAAATTCTGGTCTCCTTTAATATCTGCTGTAAAACACAAACCAGATTCTTTATACTCTAGTTACACCCTACTTTTGTGAGAATTTACTTTCAGCGTACTTTGTGGCATCTCAGTTTGTGGTGGTAGGGAGGGGCTTTAAAGAAACAAATTGTTTGTACTAGTGTAAAGGAAGGCTTTTAATGTGTTCAATGTACCAAGTTTTTCATTACATGGCTTAATTAAGTTCATTTGCCAGCACAAACATGCAAAGACCAAGCACTTGATGCACTCAAAGACTGCATTAAGAACAATAAGAATGAACACACACACAGGAAGGAAGTAGAACACAGGCTGTAATGCAGGCAGTTGATTAAAAGAGAAAGCCCAATACATAAGACCAAAGCTAAGTATTTTTCCACAACTAGCTCTTATAAAAACCGAAAGTGGAAGATAAGGACAAGACCTCAACTATTGCTTAACAGTCAGCATATGTGTGGCCAGAAACCACGGGGTTTCTTCCTAATCAAAATTTTACACAAAGTTGAAAAGCTTCATTAGGACCTATTTCCACTGCAGAGTGGGATTTTTTTTTTATTTTCTCTCTCCTCCTCTTCACTCGCAGTGAAGCACATATGCCACTGCTTATCTCTGCTGTGAATGGCAAAGGCTCTGCCCAAGTCCAGCATCAAATACCTAGGAGCCTAAGGACTTCAGATATTCATGCAATTGGAAGATGTGGATCTCAAAGATAAGAGGCTTCAAAGATGTGAACTTTGTTTCCGAAGCAATTTTAACTTTTTTCATTTACATGAATCTCTGTATCTGAACCACTTGGAAAATCCTGTTTGTCCTCATGCCTCAATCTTGTAAAATCTCTATACGCCTAAGCCTTAAGAGGTTCTACTTAACTCCAGGTTTGCTTAAACAGAGAAATTAGCTCATTAAGGAAGACCTGAACTCAGAGGCACAGAGTCCTCTGAGCCTGGTCCTCCTACCATCGCTAAACTTGTCCACCAGCAGAAGTTACTGGGCAGGAGCTGGCGTTATTTTATGACACTGCTCTTCAGCATGGGAAGAGGATCCTGAGAGAAGGTGCCGGTACCTCCCAAAAGCAGAGGGAGCCTTGTCACACCGGGTCAGCGGTGCCGCGGGCTAACACACAGCCCCCGGGGAGAAGCCAGGGCACTGCACGCCTCACCCCCGAGCCTGCAACGGGGCAAATCCCCCACACCACACCCCGGGGGAGCCCTACAGGACGAAAACAGCCGCTTTTCAGAATGGGGGGAGAGCAGCCCCGCGGGGGGGGTCAGTGAGCAGACGCCCGGCCGGGCCCTGGCAGGCCGCTAGCCCCGCCGGCGCTGCCCCCCGGGGTGCGCTCAGGGCTTCAGCCCCACAGACACCCACACCCTGGCGCCAAAGCGAACGCGGCTTCAGCGTTCGGAGCCGGCCGGACCCTCCCCGGAGAGGGAGCCGCACTGGCTGCCCGCCACCCGCCGTACGGTGTGGCCCGGCCCGGGGCGAGGCCGAGCACAGGCCGCACCTGAGCCGCCCCAGCTGCGCCCTCCCCGCCGGCTCCTGCTCCGACCGTTCTCCCCAAATTATTTATGTAGGGTCGGTCGCGTTGTTTCTTGTAACGTGGCACGGGAAGCGGTAAAAGTTATTTCGAAGATGTGACAAACAGAAAAGATACCCCGTGTGACACCCACGCAGCTGCCAGCGTTCGGCTGGAACTCGGTCCTTGAATTAGATCTCTTATGGTGGGCCTCAGCTGCGAAGTTGGCTTGTCACAAACAGCAAAGGCGAGCCGCACACGGGCAACTTGCCCCTCGCCTGCTGCTCCGACTACAGCGTGTCTCATCCCCCACCCCCGACCCTGCGCCCGCGGGTCTCCCAGGGCCCCTCCAGCCCCCGCGAGGTGTGGCGACGCGCTGAGGGACAGAAGAAGCCCCCGTTAAGAGGCGGGCGGGCGGGCGGAGGGAGGCCGAAGCGCGCCCCCCCCGGGTGGGAGCGGCCGCCCCGCCGGCAGCGTTGGCAGGGGGCGGCCCGCCGCGCTCGCTGCCAGGGGGAGCGCCGGGCATCGGCCGCGGGTGCCCCACGGGGGCCGGCGGGCAGCGCCGTACCTACCTCGGGGCGAGCGGGGCAGCGGGGGAGGCGGCTCGGCCCGGCTGCCTTCTCCAGCCAACGACCAGCGCGGCGCCGACGCCCAGGGCGGCAGCCAACCGCCGGCCGCCCTCCGGCGACACCCTCCGCTGCCCGCCAATGGGGAGGGGCCCTGGACGTCGCGTCACGGCGGACGCCGGCACGCCCCTTCGACGCCCCCGGTTCCTGGAAGGCCCAGCGCCCCCCTCGAATGGGATGCTGTAACTATAAATCGTGAGAGTTACGAGGTGTAAGAAACCAGAGCCCAGCCAGAGTCACGTACGGGGTTTGTGGGGGGGAGAGCTCTCCGTCCAGGGGAGGCACACCCCGGTGAGTTCCCACCGGGCAGATGCGGGTGCCGTTACCAGTCTCTGTGAGCAGAGGTGAGGACGTTGCTACAGAGGGTGAGAAGGTGAAGGGCGTTGAGCCTGTGCCCAGCAGAGCAACAGGGGCTGACGGGTCTGAGGAGAATTCATCCACGTCCCACTTTGCCAGAGGGAGATCTCGCTCTGAGGAGGGAGAAGCCAGAGCCATGGCACAGCCTGCTGCACCTGAACTAGGCACTACCACTTGAACTCTCCTTGAGAGGGAGTTAAATTTTGACGGTACGGCCACTACGTGGCTTTAGAGGTACCTCTTCATAGGTTACTCTCTCCTTATAGATTTCTCACTTTTCTTCAAAACATGCCCTTTTTTTCATTTTACAACCCTGAACTCTCTTTCCTGGAGTTCCCAGGCCTGAGCTGGGAACTAAGTTATTTACGGGCACTGAGCGGGAGACATCCATCCCAGCAGCTCAGTGGAGCGTGCCAGGACGAGGCACCGTGCCTGATCCTAACGCTGCTCAGAAAGCAGCTGACTCCTTTTGCCAAGAGCCGTCAGCTGTGTGCTCTCCCCAGGCGTTTGGCACCTTTGCCGGCGGGGTCTGCCTCTCCAATGGAAATGTAACACGGATGCCCTCCCTTCTCTCGCATGCTCCGGTTTGGCCGCTAGCCAAGTGCTTAGAGCACTCTGCTAGGAAGCTGAGGGCTGTTTTCAAAGTTGCAGTGTCATTCAAAACATTGACTTAAAAACATCTGTCTGTAGCATAAGCACTGGGAAATTGGGGTTTCTAAGGTGAGCTCCTTTCAGCTTTTTATGTTGGAAGATACTATGTGTAAAGGACTACTTGTAACTGAAGGCTCTTATGTCTGAGTCGCCAATGAATGCCCTAACTACTGTGATGGTAATGAAAAACTTCTTACAAGTTCCCGCTGTCCTTTGTGGGGGCCATGATGTGATCTAGGCACCTACTGGATTGGCTCCTGTAGCTGAGAAGGGTAGGTTGATTTGAGAGTGTTGCTTGAATATACTCAGGAATGAAGCTCCAGTGAGCTCTGCAGACACAGAACTGGATTTTAAAAAACAGTGGCTAAACCCCTTTTTTAATACCAAAGCGTTTCACTTTCAAAACAATTCAGTTTGAAAGAACATTTCATTTTGAGATTCCTTCATGGGTATATAAAAGAGACTTCACTTTTAGCTAAAAATCTATGTATCGTCACTTGGGGTGAAAGTATTCTTTGTATAATTTGGAATTATTGGGGATTGTACGTTTTAGTTTACTGATCCTTTTTGAATGTTCTTCTAGGGAAATGAAGTTCCAGGCTGGGCCAGAAGAGTCAGCAAACCAATGATCCATCCATCTCTATTCACAGTGATATACTTGATGACTTTGGCTGTATCCAGCAGCAGGACTTAAAGCACAAGCAGGAGGACCAGAACAAGTAAGGGCATGAATGAGATACTCTGCCGAAATGCTTATCGAAGAGTTGACTTCTGCTACAGATTTGCCATCTCTCTAAAGGGAGACTGAGAATTTTATCAGCACCATTTAAGTCTTTCTGCATCTAAAACAGACCAGGTGACGTGCACTCCGAAAGTGCCTATTGTGCTCCATAGAGAAAAAGGCAACCTATGTAACCAGTGTGAACTCATGCTGTGACAGTGTAAAGCCAGGGAAGATGAATCCCACCTGCACTGTACTGTGTTCCAGACAGGAAAGGCAGAATTGCTTAAAAAGAATAAAACAAATCTGAAATTCCGGTTTTACAAAGCACGCTAATATGGAATTGGAGCTGTTTTCTGTAATAAATACCTCCTGGTTTGGGTGGACTGTGATTCCATCTGTCTGACAATCCCTAATTATAAGGTCTAATTCTTACCCAGCTGGAACGCTTTTTACTCAGCACTGTGGGGGGAGTGCTGACTTCCATTATGGTAACAATAAACTCCCAGAGCACCTAGAGAGAGGTGGACTTCATAGATTTTATTCTTAGAATATCAAGGGTAAATCTTGAATCCGTTGAAGTCAATGAAAAACTCACTCCAACTTCTGCTGGGCGAGGGTTTCTCCCTGGGTCTCAAATGAACAGGGGAATTGGCATCCTGAAGAGATTTTTGCAGACTGTGTATCTACCTGTCAAACTCTGTTTCTCGTTTAATTCTGATTTTATACTGCAGAGATCAAGAAGTTCCAAGAAGCTTTCAGGCTTTCAGTCAGAATGAGGCTATTGAAAAACATGACCTTTTATTCAAAAGCCACTACCTGCAGTGGCTGTTGACTGCCACTGTGAATACTGACCTCACAGCAGAGTACTAGACATCACTGAACAGCACAGAGTGTTGTATTCTCTACAATCATGTAGAGAATATATTTACATTCCTATTGCCCGGTAGGGGAAATTGCCATCTCTCAGGGATTACAGCACCCCCAAAGAAAGACCTTCTACTTTTAGTAACACCTAAGATGTAGGGAATATCTGTTCACATTTGTGCACACTAGAATTCACAATAGCATCATATATGCCCATGTTCACCATAAAACCTGGTACTTTTGCATTTGTAGCGTGCACTCAGACTGCTGCATCAAATTGAGATGCCCTTTTAAGTCATCCTCACAATTCCAAAGACCCCACATAAGTATTTTTGAATTGCTGTGCAAATAAACCTAAACACAGAAAATTACAGCCTGTCGTATCAAATTAGTGAATTGGCTCATTAGAAGACAAGTACTAAGTTCATTGAAAAAACCTCAGCAGCTCAGCTAAAATAATCTCTCTGAAATATACCTCCATAAGAATCTTCATTGAGTCTATTAATTAGACTTACCGATGCTCACGCTAGTAGGGCTTTCAAGTCAATAACAATCTACCACTAAGCGTGGATCCATAGTGTGAATAAAATCAAAACCAGGGCCTTCTTTTGAGACAATCAGGGTTTAGTG